CGGCGGCCGCGCTGGGGGGAAGCATGGGGAAGGCGCCGGTGAAGGAGAGGGGGAAGCTCTGGGCAGCAGCTGTAGCTGCTGCTGCTGCGGCATGAACGGTAGCAGACAGGGACAAGAGGGAGGTAGAGAGAGGAGGGACACAGGGAGCGATGCTGCCGGCGGAGGGAACTCTGAGGGCGGCGTCAGCATGGGCGAAGGTGGCTGTGAGCAGGGCAGAGCCGTGGTGGGGCACGTCCGAGGAGAGTCTGCATGGGGTGGCGTCGGCGGCATGGAGTCCGTTGGGCTGCAGCAGAGCAGCCGGGAGGTGGTGAAAGGCGGCTGCCCAGTGGTGAGGGTGCAACGGGTGGTGATGGTGGGCCATGGAGGAGGTCATGGCAGCGGCTTCTTTTTTTGCTCAGGTGAGACACGAGTCTAACACGCAGGGGGTCGGACGTGTCAAGACCTTCCACTGAAGTCAGGTACCTTGCGACTTCTGTCAAGCACTCCCGGAAGCCGATGCTCATGAAATCCATGGCCAGGGAATGAGCGTCAAAATAACCTGCAAGGGGAGGGCAAGAGATGCGTTGAGTGTGGGGCTGGATTCCTGGCTGACGTGAGGTGAAACTGCCAACCCAGTCCAGGCTCAGCCACCAGATCTCCCATTTACGGGTTAAGATGTGTAATGCGAGAAGTTTGTTCTCTGATCTGTACACAAGCTCTGTGACCATCCCTGTAATGCAATAGGCCGCAGTTGTTTATGCAGACAGTCTACAAATGAAAAGAATTAAACCTGTAAGACATTTAAAAAGATACTCTATGCCTCTCCTGAAATTCCTCAGGAAGATCCTGCAGTGCAGTGTTGATCCTGTGTGTGTGAACAAGACATTCAGCCACACAAAGAAACAGGCTGGAGATCAGGGAGCTTGCGTGTACCCCTACACTGGCATTCATTGTAATGCTTTCAAACTATTTCTTGACATTGTGAGATAGTTGTAACTGCTGCCGGGGTCCCATCTACTTCACAGAGTCATTAAGAGAATATGACATACGGTGTTACTTAACTGCAAACTAAAAACATCTTGTGATGACTCTGCACACACACAATAAAAAGCTTTACTGAGAAAACGTTTTATGTAATGCCATTGCTAATTTGGAGATGGAAGACTGACAGTCATATGGCCCATGAGGTATTTCAATAAACAGCAACTGGAGCTCCACAAGCTTGGGACAAAAAAGCATTTGGAAAAAAAAGTCTTATTAAATGCACATGAAAAGATACCTCCTTTCTAAAAGAGTCTAACTTGTGTGTAAGTTGCAGCTCTTCAACCACAAAAACCTATTCCAGGTTTTGGAATTTTCCTATTTTAGTTTAAATGTAGTCTCCTTGGGGAAATAATATCCTATCCATTCCCAAGCTGGCATGGTGTTTTTCTTCTTGCTTTCAATGAAAATTTTTAGGTATGTATGACTATGATGTGTGTCAGAAGACCAAGTGCCCTTACTACGGAGGAATGTGGCAGCAATACCTTGTACTCTCTGTCATGAAATAATCTCTGCCTTTCTGAAAAATGCAAGATAGTTTTTTTTTTCACTTGTATCAACTTTAAAGTTAGAAAGGAGTGTTTCCATTGCTGCATGCCCACATTCCAGAATTAACCTGGGCACATATACAGATGTCGCCCCAAATTCCCTGCCCACTATGCATCTCTTCTTGACAAATCATGATGGCACTTTTGCTGTAGGCCACCTTGCTCATCTGAACCTGAGAGAAACTCTGGCTAGGCCAGCAGATCAGCGAGCATGACAGATGAAAGACTTCTGTCAGCAAACGCTGATTCCCCACAGCTTTTTCCTGCCGGGTCTGCCGTGACCAAGTTATCTGTGGAAATGCCACTGTGTGAGTGAACTCCTGAGAAACAAAGGCCAGGCAGGCCAGCAGAGGTGAGACTGCAGGGCACCTTCTCAGGTACCAGTCAGCCTGACATAAGGACTGCCGCTGCGCTGGAGGCTCCAGAACCTCCAGTGGCTTCAGAGGGGCTGATGCACAGCCAAAGCCACCTCCCAGCTTTGGCCATGAGTCAGCCAGCTTGGGAGCCCTGAGAGCACTCAGCTCAAGCCAGGGCTTCCTGGCCTCCCTCCCTCTGGACTGGAGGAGATGTGGGGGATGTGGCTGTCACCAGCTTCCCCTGACTCTGAGCTGCTGGCTCTGTGACGAGCCATCCCAATGCCCTGGTGATCTTGGCTTTCTTTCAGTCTCCTATGGTGGCTGAGACATGAAAACAGAGGGTAGATGAAAGCTGGGACTCTCAGGCTCCACTATGTTTTGATGGTTATCTTTCCCAGGTTTCCCCTTTGCTGGCTTCCCTCTTCTGAAAGAGACTTAAAAACGTTGTTTCTCATTTCCTTCCAAAACCCAAGAACATCCTCCACCACCACCTACACGTGTAGATGCCAGTGTTTTGTACTGAATGGGAAGTCCCAGTTTTACTTCAGCTGTCCTGGTGACCCACCTGCACTGCACACAGGACTCTGGTCATTTGAGCTATATGACCCTATGCTGCTGACCCAGGTGTCAGTCACTCAAGCTAAATTTGCAGTGAAGCTGCAATAAAACCACACCGAGGTCTCAGCAAGCGACTCAGTGTTGACAAATCACTCCTCCCCTGTGCTTGCTTGCACCATCAGCGAAAAGCCCTGGCCTTATACTGAAACAGTAACTCAATGTGCACAGAAGACCACTACCCACACCTGCATCAGGGTGATGGAAATGCAGAGTCCACAGAGGACCTCAGAGGCATCTGCCTGCCCACCCAGGCAGCTCTGTAAAGCAGGGAAGAGACAGGAGCCATATCGTGTTTTCTTCCACTGCGCCCACCTTGGGCTCGGTGTGCTGAGCAGTGGCCAGCTCCACTCCAACTTGCTGAGCCCCATCATGGATGTCCTCCTTTCTACATGAGGAGGACGATGAGCTCTCCCCTGCTCTCTCCCTTATGCAGGAGAGCATAAGGGCATCAGGACCCATTTCTCCTACCTGTAATTATAGTTTTTGTCCATGAGAAAAACGATGGAACTCGTTTTTTTTGCTGATACAAAAAAACCTTCTAGCTCACAAGAGGAGTTACAAAGTGGGAATAGTTACACTTGCAAATAAAACAAACATCTGCTTTAAAAACACCCTAAGAAATTATATTTAAAACTGGTTGCAAAATAAAACATTAAGTGAGCAGGAAATGCAGGCTTAAGCTTTGCCCGGTACTAATTCTCAAACCTCTTTTTCTTACAGTTCCTTAATCCATGCAGTGAGATTAGTCTTATCTCTGGGACAGAAGGAGAAGATAAAGTTGTAGTATTTGTGAAGAAATCAGGTATTCTCTTGATGGGCCACCCGCTACGGACCATGGTGTGGAAGGCAGCTGCAGAAATAAGGTTGCGTCGCCTCTCCCTGCACCCCCAACACTTAATCCTTCTCTGGACTGCCACAGGCACATGGGTGTGTGTGGGTGTCAGCCAGGGCAGGAGAGGCATGACAGCAGTGGCCGACAGCACAAGAGACCAGACCACAGGACCTGGGACTGCTAACAACATTCAGCTTGTTCAGCTGCAGCCAGAGGCCAGGGCTCTGCCAACACCTCTCTCTGCCCCACAGTTCCCATCCCAGGTGCTTTGTCCCCTGCCCCACCAGCTGGGCCACCTGACCTGATCCAGTTATAAAAAAAATCCCCTGCATACTTCTTTTGGGCAGGGAAGTAGGGGAAGGAAGCCTCCTGTTAAATTAGGTCTCCAAATGGGTTCATCTCGTAGACCTCCCACTGTTGGTGCAGACACTGGAGGGGTAGAAGCTGCTGCATCTCCTCAGATGAAAAATGTGCAGCATGACGTGGGGGTCAGGCTGGGATAGCTGAGTGGAACATTGCATGGGGAGGAAGATATGAACAAGCCACTGCTTCCCTCAGCAGCTGAGCGTTGTTTGCTCCATGCACCGAGTGAGACAGAGCTTGTGGAATGCCAGCACGCAACCACGCAATTAAAGACAGCACCATCACGCACACACGCACAGGATCCCAATCCAGATTTCACAAGCATGATAAATTCCGGTGTTTCCTCACTTCCAAGTTTTACCAACTAAATAGTGCCTTCTCAAGGACTTTTTAGATACATACGTTAACCTCTTTTTTAATTTTGCACATTTTCCAAGGAATCAAGAGGCATGTCTGTTACATGATGGGCACTAAAATTCCTTTCATCTCTTATGGAACAAGTTACCCATAAATTTTAAGCTTAAATGGACTCCTAGAAAAAACTTCTTAACACCTAGAAAAAATTATGTCAGCTTGGTGTCAATTTTCACAAATAACAGAACACCAACCTTCAGCATGCTTTCCTATAGCCATCTGTTTGTTAAGCATGCACTGATTCTAAGCTGGGTTTTTTTTATTGCTGCAAGGTACAGAAAGAAGCAGTAATTCAATCATGCGCTAAAAGCTTTAATCAAAAAAGGAAAAGCAGCTTCTTTTCTAGCCTTTACCTATATGGCATAGTGGGTGAATGAAAAATCATCTGGTTTCCATTACAACAATTTGAACCATGATCACAGCTGATGGCATGGGACGTGGGACTGCACTTACGGGATGCCAGCAAGCTTTTTGCTCCAAATAAGTTCCAAAATCATGACTACACAGAACACCTCGTGGGTGGCTGAAATCATTTGGCCTCCAGCCTCGAGACTGTCAGCTTGCACAAGTGAGGTACGCTCGACTCCCAGCAGTCGGCTGATCTAGTGGGTCAGCCAGTGCAGCTACTGCGTCACACCAGCACCCACTAACAGGGAGCTACCCAGGCCTCTGACACACATAGTATAGAAATATGAGCGCAGAGAGCACTGCTAGCCTGTCTGCTTTATCAGGTACCTGGAGATGCATAGAGTAAGACTGGGTTTTGTTCTGGTGAATGAGACGGTCTAACCTGGCATTGAACAGTCTTTCCACAACAAAGAAAATATTTAAACGTAAATGAAAGTTCCTCTCTATTCACTTCCTTCGGTATAGCTCCTGGATAATGAGGTTTAGCATCAGTTTTGTGCTACACAATTGTTGCCACAAACCTCCTGTTTATGTTTGGTGTTTGTGTATTTATTTTGTCTCCCTGTGCAGATTTCAGTGCTCTTTGGAAACCCCAAACAAATCTCTGACTGGGCTGCCTGTGAATGAAGCCTTTACTCCCACAGTGTTATGAAAGCAAACACAAGCCCAGGGTCAAGTGCTTCTTTTGTCCCAGTAGTTCTTTCCCACGAGTTCAATCCTGCCATTAGCATTGATTTCCACTCCTTTAATCTGGAAACGCCTATCACAGCTCCTCAAAGCATTTTTTTTCTGAGATTTCCCCAAATATTAGAAAACAAATCATTGGCTCCTTACCTTTACCTCCCGTTGCCTGCAGCATCTTCAGATGATCCACTGTCATTTGCAGTATTTCCGCTTTTTCTAATTTGGCAGATCCCTTTGAGATAAGAGACATATATAAATAAAGGCTTACGAGTACTAGAAACTTTAATTTGATATACTTTCTACTGAGCTCAACCTTATGGTTTCAATTTCCCCTATCATTAGGACATTCTCAGCTTAATTCTTTTGTAAGCATCTGCTTCCCAGACTTTGTCTACGGACTAACACTGTCTCCTCTCTAGTGATACAAGCAGCAGCAGCAGCACAATTTTGCTTTATTAGGGCTACAGCTCAGTGTAGCTCTGGCCCTGAAGGTAGTGTAGAGATGACATCTTCATGAAATGAGAAAAACATGTAACTTCCTGGACTTCCTTTTTAAGGACAATCACAACTAGAGAGCTGGCAGAGCGGATCTGCATGCAGACCCTGCTGCGACGCTATTCTTTGCGCTGTTACCGGTAGGTGTCCCTGCGGACACACACCCAGCACTATCCCGCTCCTAATCGCCTGCTCGTTTTCGACATGTCACTTGGCTGCTGAGTATTCCGTTCTCACTCTCGACTGAAAAAACCGCCGCACAGTCCACAGTATTCTAAGTTAGTGACAGGCCTAGGTTTCAAGGACATGAAGCTAAATATCGTGAAAAAGAAAGAATGTAGCTCCTCTGCCAGTAAAAATCCTTTCTGATACTGAGGGTGGCTCACAGAGCTACAATAGGTACTGGAAAAGTACAAATGCAACTCAAAAGGTAGTATTAATATATTAATCTATAAATAAAACTATTTTGCCTGGTAGCATTCCCTTCAATATCTGGAGCACACCCAGACAACACAAATGTTATTCCAGTGCAAGAGATCGTCCCTTGGCATCAGTTAAAATCAGGACTGCTCAAGCTGCAGCCACCGGCGATCCTGCGAGCTAATTATTTTCTCTTAGTTATGATCTGGGTCACCTCAATGTCTCAGCCAGCTTCACCCAGGCTGCACACGCATGAGTTAGGCAAGGCTTACACCCTTTCCTCCGCAACTCCACAGCGCTCATCTCTGCGACAGGCTCCAGAGCAGCACTGTGATTTGGGGAGGGAGGCGGAAGCGAAACTAAACCTCCAACTTGGAAACTTCAGTGAGCTGAATGTCAAGGAGCTGGAAAAGCACTGATGACTTTGTCCTTGGCATATTGCAGGAAAAACGGTGGGACTTTCTGATCCAAATACAGTGCGTGCTCATTTTAACGCCAGTGCATTTTCTTCAATCCGCTTACTGCTTTCAATGCTTTCCTCGTACAAAGGTTTGTATGCCTGTGAATTTTTGGTCAGAATTCCCCATTTTACATGCAACTACATCCTGTAGTTTTCTCAGACTTCATCTTTTCCATAGACACAGTACAAGCCGTCTCAGTGAGAGTGACTAATAGCTAAAAACTGCATGGCGCTGGGTAATTTCCAAAGGCTCTGTAGGACTTGTTTTATAATGTTTGTGGTTTTCAAGAAATAAACAATAAAATGGGACAAACAACTGTTGTCTCTTGCCCCTGTTTATCTAGCTGAAAACATCTCTGTCACCGTTTTGCCAGAACCAATGCAAGGGCACAGTGACAGCTACCAGTTATTAAAAGTGCATTGCAGGTGACACAAGTGATGCTTTCACCAATAGTTCAAATTTCTTTTCAGCCAGCTTTTGTTCAGACCAGGGATGGAACAGGCCTAATACGGCACAGTGTTTGCCACGTAGTTACCACTGACATCCAGCACCTCCCAGTCCTGCTCCCAGATTTTAATTTCTGGGTTTGTTTTTTTATTTTACTGTTACAAAGAAGTCAATTATTATGTATTTTCAGATGTTCCCTTTTTATCGAAACATAGTGTCAATCGCACATATCGGTATATCTTCAGACACATCCAGCAAAACTGGAACAAGGCTAAATATTGAATCAAAGGCCAAAAATAAAAGTCAAGATGTGGGGGAAAAAAGGTCATTCAAATGGCAAAACCAAAATGCCCTTCTTTTTACATAACAGATTTTATTCTAAGTTTTTGGTCTGTAATTTCATGACCAAGTTCCTGGGCCCAAGTTAGCTGGATCCTTCCTGCCTTCCTACTCAATACTTTCTCACTGAAAGTCTGAATAGATCACTGACTTCACACCATGGGCCTATTTCACCTCCTAATGCACTGGCTCTGAAGAGTCATTTTAAAACATGAATAATCCAGACTGTCTGTTCCCTTTTCAGGAAACTGAATTGATTAGTTTGCAATGGAAAATATAAATTGGAAAATAAAGGTTTCTTAAAGTAGGGGCAAAGGAGATGATATTTAAAGATTTAGACAGAAGGCCAATTTACATACAGGTTTGGAGGAGTTTTGTTGAGTTTGTGCAGATTTTTTTTTTAATATGGAGTAAAGCACATTTTTAACAAAACCACTACTGGAATTCATCGAAAGAACAGAGGCAACATGAACACAGTTACCCTTAAGGGAAAAACAAGCCAAAGAATGGAAATGTTTTTCAGCCTTATAATGAATTATGTTTCTAATAGTTTTGCCACAACAAAGCATTTTATTGAAATGCCTGCTTTGTGCCAGATCAGGACACATACAGTATTATTTTAATGAGTTTTACAAGAGAGCTAAAATTGCCAGATGAGATACAGAATATTTTTTTTTAAAAAAAAAAAGGGCTTACTTGTTTTTCAAAAGCAGTTGGCACAAGCCGCCTCAGCTCTGATAAACTGTTATTTATACGATCACGGCGCCTTTTCTCTATAATCTATTCCCAAAAAAAACAAAACACAGTAAGTTTATAAGAAATGTTGAAGGGCAAAATCACAGCACACATGTAAATTGTCAGATGTGAAAACAATTAAATGCAACATACCCCTCTTCTTTTCTTTCTGGCCATGATCTGAGATGTTGTTGTTGGGGAATTTGATCGAATGACAGAACTATTACTTTGCCTGTGAAACAACAGAAGTACGTCAGGTGTTGCACAACTTGACACTGCTCTTTGAAGATACCTAAGGTCACCATATTACATACGCATAGTCCCTCTCATGTCATTTTCAATGCCTGGAAGATGTGCTTGGCATTGCACAGTACTTTTAAAAAGAGAGAGAGAGACATTTCAGTTTTGACTGCCCCAGCACATGTTTTGAATTGACAGAACACTCTGCTGGAAATAAAGTCCTTTTCTGGAGACAGTTCACTGTCCAGCACAGTGGATTTCATTTTCTTTGCATACAAAGACCTGCCTACCAAGTACAGGCTAAAGAACCAAGCCCAAACCCACGTGAACCATCTCTATATGCCAACAGCAGCAGTAAGTGCACGTACCTGATGACACAACCTCTGCCAGGCCTGCTGGGTTTTGACGATCCTACCCATTGCTACACGAGTCAGTGGATGCTCAAGTACAATGCTAGTTGCCCAGCCTAGGTCTGTTGCATTGTCCCACATCAGGGCCAGAATTCAAAATCCACTTTTAAAACTCTACTACCCACGAGTACGAAAAGGTTTTTATTTCATCATGAGTGAGCGAAAAAGATCCAGTAGCTGTTAATACTCTTTTAGGCACTGATGCGGATGAGACAAGGCCCCAGTGCATGAGCCTCCAAATTGGCAGGAGCAGCCCTGGAGCCCCTTGCCACCCCCACACAGTGTCCAGACTGGCCCTCCTCGGGCAAACACCACTGCTGACCCTCGGCTCACACGCCAGGTTTGCTGAAATTCAGTTACTGTGGATCCCTGCTTACTTTCCACGGTTCGTTTCCCACTTGTGATGATTCCCTTAGGTTGTTCGGCCTGCTCAGGAGCGATTTTGGAGAAGGTCTGATTGAAAACGGCAAATTAACTGAAGCTAATGAACTGCAGCCCGCTACTTGAGTGCTCCCCGTAATTTCGAGGCTCGGGCAGTCGGACCGCGGGGCTAATTTTTGGTGCGTTATCAACGAGCTGCCAGCCGACCCGGAGAGAGACACGACAGCACTGCTCTCTGCCCTCGGGGCC